GGTGTGTCCGTTCCGCGTGTGTATATCTCGATGCCGGTGCATAAAAACCAATTCGTGATCTGCTAATCTAGTCACATTGACTTTAAGATTACCTCTCTGAAACTAGTGGTCCGAAACGAGGACGTAGGACATTTCGCTGGCCGTTACGAAGATCTGTTTATCGTTCGCGATCTGCGGAACGGGGACTGCTCGTAAACACAATATTATGATAATATTATCTCGCCGCGATAACGCTGCCGCGAACGTAAGCGAAATCTCGAATCTGTCCGCGGCGCGATCCGGCCGTGTAGAAAAGATTTTCGATAAACCGTTTCGATCGCGGCCGCTCACGATCCGGTCGTAGCCGCACACGGTGTCTTTCGCCATCGGTCCGATTCGATTCTGAAATCGGTTTAGAAAGAGCCGGTTCGATCCCAGTCGGAAACGTACGGCCAAGACAGAAGTGGAACATCTAGATTTGTGGAACATTTATTATCGTTATCCGTGGTGCGTTAACTCTCGAGTAATGTGCGGGATCGAACGACGCCGGCTTAACGATCGTTCGGTAACGACGCACCGCGTCACGGGTTTAACGGCGAGGAAAATTTTCGTTTCGAGGTGCAACGAGTCGGGATCGTGTCCCGTGGTTGGTATTATCACGCTGCAAACGTGTCGATGATAATTCCTCCTGCACGAAACATCATCGGCCCGAGGAAGTGCTTGTTATGGATATCTGCGCTGCGATCGAACGGGAATACTTTCTCGAGCGGAATTACGTGGATGGCATCCAGGGAAGCCAAGTTTTCGAACCCTTGCAGGAGTGAGTACACCTTGTTTCACGCTATCCTTATCGCCGGTTATTAAACGGAAGTGTCGCTGTTAAGAATCTTTTATCTCCGCGCCAGTTACTCGTAGTAATAACTCCTACTCGTCCAACCGATATTTTACCGCGTGAAAAACATCCAGTCCGCTGATCGATCCGTGTTCACGAACGCGAGCACGAATTAAAAATCGACGGATGACCCGCGCGAATGGCGATTTAACGCGTTCCCCCGGTTCGGTTACGTGTCTAAAAGCACCACGTTTCCAGCACTTAGGAACGTCTCAATTAAAATAAATCACCTGCTAGAGTTACCCCCGTGAAGTGCAATCCGATCGCGATACATCCTCCCCCCGAAGCCAAACGTTAATCAAGAGGTTGATCGTTGGTCGATCGATTCGCAACAGGAGTCGATCGAACCAGCCGATCCCGGCAACGGCACACGTTCGCCCAATAAAATCTCATTTTCCGATCTACCCGAACCAACCGACCAACTATCGTAACATCTAAGCAAAATACCTCCACCTGTTAAAATCTGCCCGTGTGTAGCGGGATCACGAAGCGTATCCTTCCGTGGAACGAGCACGGCCACGATAACCACGCGAGAAAGCACAATGGAGCACGTTGGGCCCCGCTATTTATGAATATAATGTTCCGATCGTCCTGCGCCGGCTCAACGGCCCGTTGTTCGAGCGGAAAAGACCGCGATTTTTTAGCGATCGGTGAAAGTCGAAGTTCGCCGGTAATCCCGACAATGCCGGAAGCCCTGCGCCGCTCCTCATCGCGGTCGTCTCGAAGAAAGAAGTCGAAAGGTATCGCGCATACGAGGACGCGTGTGCAGACTTTGTCTCTACGTGTCTCTGTTCAACGCGTCCGGGGTTCTGAAAATTTCGGGGGTCAACGTGGAACGGGGATTTGGAAATTTTTCCTGGGATCGGATCAAGCTTATAAAGATATCTGGAATCCACGAGATTTCGAATCGGGATGGGACGAAATGGGACCCTGAAAATATCCGAGGTCCCGAAGATGTCGAATCGAGTCGGGATCCCGAAAATATCCAATATCGCGAAGGTATCGAATCGGGTCGGGACCTTGAAAATATCCGAGACCTCTGGGACTTGGGGAAATCGCGAAAATGTTGGGGATTGCGGGATATTTTCGGGATCCCGAAGACCACTAGTTCCTCCGTGTCTTCCCGATGTCTTGACCCATTACATCGCACCGGGACGACGAACCGTGACGGGCGCTGGCCGCGTTTTTTCTCCTCGTTTCATAGAGGATCACCGTGGGGACGATAAATCGCGCGAAAGTCGCGGACGAATACCGATCCCCGTGACGATAAAAGAACGCGTACGAGCGTGGAGGAGGGACGAGAAAGTTGAACCACGAGAATCGACGCACGTGCCTTTTTCTCGCCCTATTCTCTTCGTTCGAGTGGTAATTAAGGTGAAGCATCGTGGGCACGCGATGTAATGATTATCCTCGAGGTACGTCCGTGTGCTGGAGATGGAATCGTCGGTGGTACTGATTAAGGGGGGATATTGATGTTATAAGCTCGAGATGGATGTTTGATTCGGATCTGTAACGAACGGTGACAAATTGGGCCTGCCTTCGTGTTTGCACGGTGATAGGGGTCAAGTAAGAGAGGGTTAAACGCAGATCGTGGTGCAGCAGTGATCGCGATATTTGGACCAAGTAGGTGGAGCAAGATTTTCTTTAATCTTTCCGGTATTAATTATTAAACCGAGAATTTGGGTCGAATTACTTTTGTCAAGCTGGAAGACCCTTTTTCGTTCTTACTACAATTATTTCCGCTGATTCTACGTTTAAGGATTCCTCCTGTCATTCTACCTCGGGTACCACTAAAATTACAACCTTTATTATAGGTAAATGTTCATTTATCGATTCAGTTTTGTAAGCTATTTTTCTTCTCTCGGTACCTTGACAGATATATGATTTTGACGCTCTTTCGTTGGTATGCCAAGAGTTAAGGAAAGAATGTACTCTATGGGACAGTTGTTCCTCGATTATTGTCCAAATGAAATAGAGAGTATATTTTTCACGACATAATTTCTACCTTCCAAGATCCTTTGACATCTCCATGGTCTCGAAAAATGGTCTCGTTTACGGAAAATTGAAAGATAGTAGCGTTTGAAAGTTATATATTCTTGTTTTTAATCCAGTAATAATTTTGCCGCGTATTAATCGGTATCAGACTTATCTTATTTCTCGGTTTCCACGACATAGAACTTCGAAACTCACCTGTAGCGCTTGCCTCGACTTCCGTGCACGACAAGCGTAAATAAGATCAAATTCCTCCGCTCTTATATGTACATTATTTTCCGTTGTTGGCTTAACGAATGCCACAAGTCGTGTTTTTCGATGATTGTGTTCATTGTTGCGTCACCGAGCGAGGAATTCCGTATGCCAGACCGAGCAATCGGTTTTGGCAGCTGTATTAAGACAGGTGCGGAAATACCCGCGCAAGATTTCCCATTTTTCGTTATCGACTCTCCATTATCGATTATCCATGTACATCGAATCTTATTTGTATCCTCGAAACGATTCGAAACGCTGACGAGATGGAAGAGAAGCAAGGTGTGCATCCTCTTTGAATTTCGATATTTATAGATATCGGTAATTTCATTACCGGTAATGAAAATTGTAATAGAAATTCCCGCTACTATAGTGAATTATTTCGCGCTGATCATTAGCACGGTATCCTGTTTAATCGTGCGTGAAGAATCAATTTAACGAAGTCCAGAGTCGCTCGCGCGATCATTTTTTCCCTTCTACGTTGGCAACCTAACGCTCGATGATCTACCAATTACGAATACTTAACCAACCACGCGGCCTCAAATTTATTTACCCGTGGATAATTCCAATTTTTCATCGGCTACTGGTTCACCTTCGTTATTGCACGAACGGGTTGCGTTACGATTTTAGGTTTCCGCGCGGGACGATAATTATTAGGAAGACGCGGAGGCATCAGCAATGCGGCCTCGAGTCGCGAGATAACGTAATTCCCCGACGTTCTTTAACCCGATTTCGTGTTGCTTTTGGCAGATTATAATTTCGGAATTTATCATCCCGGAGCGTATAATCGAATTAGAATTTACAGCAGATCTTCGCCAAGCTGCTTATCGAATACGTAAATAGCAGGACGCGTTCGTGATTAACCATCGTGACCGCGTTCGCTCCAAATACTTGTTACGATTATCTCGCTAAATATTTGTTTAGCGAGGCATACGCTGTACAGCGAGAAACAAAATTGAATACGCGACAAAAATCGCGAAGAAAGTATACCGGATGAAGGTAAGACGATTAAAGTTAACGTTTCCAACTGCTTGCTCCTTATCGCGATAAACGAAAACGATTCTCAAAGTTATCGACGCATAATCCCTTACAGCTTCAATTGCTAGTAAGAACACTTTATATTCTTGATACGCTTTAGTCAAGAATGTTACTTAAATACCGTGGAATCACGTGAGCAGTGATATAAGAAACAGCACGTATTCATGTGGCTTACCTGTTCAGCCTCGGTTCTGAGACTAGACAGACTGAACTTAAGAAGGCCCTATATAACCAAGGACTCTAGTCTAAGCCTGTATCGCATCGTTGATTCCAACAGGTATAATAATAATTCGCAATTAATGATTCCTTACTTCCCTAAGGACGATCGAATTCGAACGAAATTTTCCAGAGTCGTATCTGATAAGCAATTCGATGTACATGCACATTTTTAGCTGCTGTTGTCGAAATTTAAGGGACAAAACACCGATCGAAACATTCGATTCGTAGGGTGAAAGCGTTGTACATAGACGAAAATGGTGGACGTATCGTTTAATGAGAGCTCGTTATCACGGAGATACCAAAGATACCGAAATACCGTGTCCGCTATAGCAGCTGTCGTTGAATTGGTCTCGAGCAGACGAAAAGTCGAGCCTCCGGGAGTCCAGTAAACACGAAAGATGCACGATATCCGGCGTCCCCTCCCCGAAGTGCCGCGGAGGGATGTTCCTGGTCGCGGATGCACTGGCTCTCCAAAAGACGCGACGTATAAATACCACCTCGTTTCGGCTTCCTCTCTCCCCGCGGTCCCGTTCTCCCTCTCTCTTCTGCCTGGTAGCACGGAGTCTATTTAGATAATCTTCCGCTTAGCGGGAGCGGCACTCGGTGCGGCAAGGGAGCCTCTTCTTCGCGGAGGCTTTCACCAAGGTGGCATCATATTCCTGATCCGCGAACCGGCCGCGTTTCTTCGATCCTCTCCACTCGTCTGCTCTCATCCCGTCTCCTCTCGTCTCTTTTGTCGTCGTCCTGTTCTCTCGGTGCCAGTGCTCGATAGAGGTTTTTGGCGAACGCCACGCCCGCGTCCGACGAAGCCCGGCGTCGCGTCTCTGGTGACTCGTAACGCGTTCGACGACGTGACCTTGAGCCCACAGGCCTCGAGGACATAGGCCGGGGTACCGGTGCTGCTGCGACATCAAGATCTACGACGGGTGAGCAGGGATACTCCGTTGGCTGGGTCGCGGGACGCTCCTTCGTCGCCACGACATGCGGCTGTCTTGATTAATCGGTAAGCGAACCAGTCCGCTTTCCACCATTCCTGGCCTCGTCGGTGCGTGGGTGATCGATCCGATGGCGCTTTAATGATAGACCAGCGATCCTCCATCGCCACTCTTTGTTTGCATTGTGCCGAGGTTTTTGCTCGCCGCGAATGTAGGTGGGCTCACGCCGCGCGCCTTTAACCCTTTGGCCGTTTAGCGCATCTGCCAGATGATCGTGTAGATATAGGTCCGCGTGTGTATTCTGGGCTCCAGCACGCGGAATGTTTGCCGAACGGGAGTCAGTCGTCTAGCGTGCCATCCGCGATTCCTATACCGGTGCGAATATATTTGCTCGAACCAGTGTTCGCGGGTAATTCAGTGTACCGAGATCGGCTTTTCCTCCGACTCTCCTTTCCGTTAAACCTCCCGTATCTGCATAAGCGATTCGAGAGATCGAAGGCATGGTTTAGCGATGCTTCCTCGTGATTATCGGGGCAGAAACGAAAAAAATATCGTATCTGTTTCAGCCGAGAATTTATCGCTGGCGAGCCGGATCGCGTCAGATAAGGCAGAATCCTCTTCCTCGATCCACGAATAGAGCTGGCAGAGTTTCGTCATCCACAAAAGCGTTGCGTCTCCCACGAGCTTTATGGAAGTCGGAGGAACGATAACGTGGTCGAGGGTGATTCGGAGAGGGTTGGAATTTCCATCGGGGAATTTTAGCTCGTCGTTGATAAGCGGCATTGAACGAGTTCCTCGGAGAAATTGCAGATAACGATCGGCGGAAGGAGGGAAAGGCACGCGAGACGCTTTATCTCGCGTGTATTCATTGTTTATCATTGAGTACAATTGCCCGGCTACGTGTGCAGTCGCGCGATCGCGCAGATGTTCGGGACAATTAAAAGTGATTGACGCGAATCTGCACGATTCTCGAATCGTCGCGACAAATTAGGGCCGTATAGAGGCGAGCTTAGGGGCGAACGGCGGACGTGTTCGTGTTAAGAGGTTGAAACGTGTCCTCTATCTTTAGAAGCGTTTCCCCGAAAAGAGAGGCTCGACAGAAAGAGCTAGAGGGGTTACAAAAGGGTTCGCGTTCTTCGATGGAGCAACACGAGCGTAGCATCGTTTGATCGTTTCATTGAAAAGAGGAAACCGTGGCAGCCAATTAATACCTTATAACGATTATCGAACGAAGCAGACGTTTTCGTAACGGATTAGACACGAAATTATTAATCGTTTATCGCGTTTGGTAATTTACTTCTGCGACAGATTCGTCCATTAACTCTTTACGAGAGTGTTCTAATCCGGGTTAATAATTTCCTGATTCAGCTTTCGAATTTATAGTTAATCAGTAACTCGATAAAAATGAACGTTTTCCTAGTTTACGTGAAAGTCTCGTAAAATTTCCATCGATCGAGGAACCAATTTCCCTTATTCGATCGTATCTCCAAGAAATTCTAGAACGACTTTTTCTCTTGGCAACGTATATATTTTTTTATTCCGATGGAAACGTAATTGCGTACACTTTTCCATTTTCATCCTACATGTTACATTAATTATCTTTGTCTACTCGTATTATACTTAAGTACGCATTACAGGTTAGTAGCTCCAATCTTAAGTACCGAATAATATAAAAGAAAATTATGCCCGAATGTTTTAATAATGCGAAATAATGCGAAATAATGCGAGATATCGCATGGTTGCAATTTACAAAATTTGCAAATATTTGAATGAGATTTGAAATCAGCACGGAAGAGCAGGCTCTGGTAAAATCTAAGCAGGAAGACAATCTCGCGAAAGGCAAACAAGACGTGGTAGACGAAGTGCTTCGTTACGATTCTATTTGCGAAGAATTAATGATCGGATGCTCCGAGAAAAGCGTATTTTAGCGGTGGTTTTCTGATTTATTTATCGCGTTTGCCGTGGCCAAAGGTGAAAATGCGCTCGAGACGATCCGAGAAAAGGAGAAGGATGAAAAAGAATTTGGCGAAAGATCGGCCGGCTGCAGCCCAGCGCGGCGCGGCGCGGCAGCTTATCGTTTCGCAAATAAACCGAACGACGCTTTTCTGCCACATTGCGATGACAAAGCATCGTGCATGTTTATCGGTTGTTTGCACCGAGACGCGTTGCGTCTCTCGTGCAAACAACGTCGCCGGAACGGAATGCGGTTGCCTCTTTTTCTTCGGCGCTTTCCTTATTCGTATCGTGCCTTCATGTGCCAAGAAAGACTTTTGGTCTTCACCAAAGAGATCGTGGATTAAAATTAGCCGCGAAAGTGTCTTCGCTTCGAAGTCTAGCGGTGACTTCTGCTCTCTTCCATCCTCCTTTTTTTCCCATTTCTTTTTCTTATGAAATCTGACGAATGAAAATAGAAGCTGCCTTCGTCCTCGGTGCCCGATTAACGATAGCGTTCGTAGAAAAGCTGCTAGTCGACGGTGTTCTTTTCCCGTGTATCTTCCGCTGCATGCATTTTTGCTTACAAAACGGTTCTGATTATTCGCCGCTCGATTATCCGGAATGCTTCATTAACCGACGCGTTCGCAATGAATATTTTTCCACGCTCGTCGAAAAGCGAATTTCCGACATTTTGGTCATTCAATGGTAAAATTGATAAATTAGTATCAAAGATTTGACGAACGGAAGAAAAGAATTTGTCTGTTTGTCAGTCGTAATTGTATCTTACAGCCCTGCGATTTATTTCCAAAATTTACACTTTACATTTTCGACTTAATTCGTTCATATAAATCCATCTTTTGCTAGCTTTTACTACGATATGATCTAGAGATATGATCCATGGGTGAATTTTAAATTGTATTCTTAATATTTCTTCGCTTAACGAGTAGGCACGGTTCGAATAAGTAAATAAAAAAATAAATATTTAGTTATGTTACACTATCTGTGTTCCAAGCGAACCGAGTAATTGGAATTGTCCCGTATTGTACTCGGAATTCTGACGTCGGTGCATATCTTGCGACGGTACCCCTTTGAGAGAGACCACGCGACAAAATACGAGTTCGCGACCCGCCGATATTCGCGTCACGTCCGTTGTCTTTCGAATTCTTCGTATATTTTCCGCGTGCCAGGCCACTTCGCGAGACCACTCTCCTCCCTCGATCGTTGAATCATCCAAATCCGGCGTTCGGATTCCCGGCGAAAATCATGGCAGGCAGTGTGCCAATAAATGGCCGCAGCAAGAGTGCCACCTGCGCGCGAGTAGCTTTACTCGGAATCGAATCTATTTCGCGAATTTTTCCTCGATTAATCCGACGGCTCTCGCGAGGTCTATTTCACGAGAACTAACTCTAGTTGCCTAGCTCGTCTGTCGCTTTGATGTACTTTTGAGGATGGCATGCTTTTGATGATTGAACGCAACGGATGCCCGCGAACTCATTTCTCCTTTCCTTATATCGATGAAAATAAAATGAAATAACACACTCCACACGCATAGAAGTTTAATACGATTATAACGTTAACTTTCATCCAGTCGACGAGATCCACTCGGAAAATACAAAAAAAATGTATTTGAAAATAATAAATAACTTAAAAAAAAAAGTACAAAAACTACGAATTTCGGAATTACAGATATATTTTCTAATACCCGTTGCTGCGGCACTGTATCTCCCTATTTGCTAGTAAATTCTTACTATTTCATGGTACAATTCGTCCACCGTGCGAGGGTTAATTTGACATCAAAAGCTTGTTCCTGGACCACGATCTCCTTACCCCAATCCACCCCCAAGCGTCAGTTGACTCTTACCCAGAGAGTAATCGCTTTTCTCGCGAATGAAAGAAGCTACACGCGACCCATATTTCCCATCGTCGGGCATCGCAGGTGCAACGGGTTTTCGTTGGCGTAGCGGGAGAGAAAGCACCCCTTTCCGGCCGAACACGGCTGTACAAGATGTTCGAAATTCCTCGCCACTGCGTCGCGTTGCGAATTTAATTAATTCGCGACTGCGATACCGATGCCACGTGCCGACGTGGACCGAGATGAAAAGTTCTCGGAATAAGGTGGAGCGCGGCGGAATTCGAGAATATCGCGAGTGCCGGGTGTTCGGGGAACGAAAAGAAAGCGAAAGAAAACGCCCTCGGGTATCCTGCCGCGCACCAGGCGTCTTCGGCTTCCTCGACTTCTTTTTATTCACCTCGCCGCGACCCTGGCACAAGTTCAATTCGTTCCGGCCAATTGGACGCGGGACTGTGCGAAAGAGACGCCGCTTTCCGTGGACCAATCGACCATTTTCTCCGGGTGGAATGCATCGGCCGGTTCGCGGACTCGCGAGACGCCTCGTAGGGAAATTTGCATTTTCAATGCTGGCATTCTTGCGAAAGCTTCCGCTCCGACGAACACGTGTCCTCCGCCTTCTTTTTCTAATCGGTGACGTGCTTGGCCGGGTCGGTTCATCGATGGATATTCGGTGTCGAGTGATGTCGAGTCGAGCTGTGCCCGTTTTGTCTGCGACCAGGTGTTGTGGATACTCTTCGTTGGCACAATTGGAAAGGAGGAGATTCCTCGAGTAAAAGTAAGTCGAAAATATAGAATGAACGTTTTCCATGTGGAGCCTCCGTTCTCGAGGAAATCGAGTTTGAATATTCATTAAGTACACGTGCACTTAAGTGGTCACAGTCTGCTTGGCTTAGTCGATCTGGATGCCTGTTCCTGGCATTTGGAACAACTTCGACAGAGCTGGGTAGCTTCGAATAATAACTTTTCATATTTATTAATCCGTTGACGAAGGACGGGCACGGATTCTTCGATGTACGCACGATATATACGAATAAATTAGTAATACGATCGAGGGAGATTTCAGAGACGATTGATCGAAACGTGTGATAATTTCAAATACTTTATAATAATCTCGCCACTCCATCATGCGTCATATCGCGATAAAATTGGTATAGAACCGCGAGATAAGGATGACGATATTAGTAATTATCTGTACCGTTTAACGTTTAAAATTATATTTCGAGGCCAGATGCGATGATAATTCGTAAAAATTATTCGCTCATTAAATTCACTTATTAAAAAATTTCAGAAATTTTCGCTTCAATATCGTTCACTCTTCTTCGCGATCTAAGTGAAGAGAACGCGAGAAATTAAAATATCTTCCGTAGCTAAATAGACCTGGATCATTTTATCGATCAGTCAGACACATTTTCGAGGTATCGATAGATTCGTATTAGCATAACGGGGTGTTCCAGGCGCGATTCGCGAGAGAAAATTGACCCTTTCGATCTCGCGAATCGACTTTCGCGTGCAACAATAATATCATTGATCGTGAACTTTATCGGGATTCGGTGGAATCGAGGTTTAACATCCGTTATCGGGAACGGCGATGCTCGTGGTTCGACGAAATAACTCACTGCGGGAATTGAATGTCACTCGATCACTGCTATCTGACAGAAAACGCATTAGATGAAAATCGAATAGGCTCGCTAGGATTTACGGTGCATCGAAATAATATTTCTCGTTAATCCCAACCTGTTCCGCGGCCGTTCATAAATTCTGCCATGCCTCGTCCAACCCCGGTGGTAATTTGCATACGCGAAAAAGAACGCCGTTTTTTGTGGTACAAATAATGCGAGGGAAATGATTTTTATCGTCGTATAAATCTGACCGTCCCGTTGAACGCAACACGCGGTCCGCGTGATAGAAATAAAGCCGGTCGGAGAGATGCGATCATCGTTGCTTTTTCGCGATAATAAAACGTCGTAACTCAAAACGTTCGAAAAAACAATGTCTCGTTGCTTTATGCGTAAACGAGCCTGATGCACTCGACAGGCAAGAGTCTATTCGTTAAACGGGATTTATAATCCCCTATTATTATTTGGCGATGGATGATGGACTCTTAATGCCCCTTTACCGAGAAGACGCACAGACCACTTCGACTTCCGATATAGCTAGCCTTCAGTATTCGGAAATAGAAAAGACATACACAGGTATTTATAAACGCTCGATATTTGCAACCATAAAGCCTCCATCGCGATACCATTTGGGCCGAGAAGTCGGCTTTTCGTGGATCGCATGGTTGCAAGTATAGAAGGATCTTTAAATGACGAAAAGGACGTTGATTACCCGAATGACGATTTTGTTGCATTTCAAATGTAACCGTACGTCTTTATCCAATTACCAGTTACTCGCAAAATATTGAAGATCACAGAGTATATTATTGTCTTATAGGAAATTAAAATTAGAAACTTACCGGTATACGAAAATCATTTATTTTTAATTTTTAATCGATTCGTGAAATACTTGAAAATTTGGTTTCTTTAGATAGATTATTGTCCGAGTTAATTTGCCCCGAAATTGGTGCGAATAATCGGTATTTTATCGTATATAAACGTTAAATATTCTTAGTTTTCAAGTCGTTCCTTGCACGTGTTTCGAGATCCAGTGAATAAATCTGAATTCGAATGAGCTAAAGAGTAAATGGCACGGAATTCGAGTCGTTCGAAACCGTAGGTATTCGGGATTTTCAATTTGCTCGTCGATTGCTCGGTCACCGATGAACGAACCACTATTATCGACAGCAATTTCCGGTCTACCGTGATTAATTTGTACGTTCGAATCTCGGTGTTTGCTTCGCCGAATATAATAATAAATCCATGGCGGATAGTTTATGCGAGGTCACACATTCGTGCGGTTATCGATGCGCGAATTTCTGCAAAATTCCTGTTATTTCCACCGCGGTTATCTAGTCGGCTTCCTGTTGCGATATTACAAACCAAGAGTACAATTCCTTCGTTCTTTACAGTTAAATGTTGCTTCCATTTTTGGCCAAGTTAAATGCTTTCCTTTTCCGTACAGAAACCCTCAGTGTCGCCTAAATCGGATGTAACGGTGCAATGACGTCAATTTCCGATTGACATTAGTCATATATCGAGCCAAACGTAGATGAACTTTATGTTCGCTTGCCTTCTACGAAACATTCTTCTCTTACGCACCTTTATTCCCGATTAGCCTTAAATTCATTAGTTGAAAACTCAAAGAAAATGGAAAAAAGGAAAGAAAAATAGCAAACAGCCAAAGCGATAACGTTGTACGTAGAATTTTTAATCGAAAATCAAGGAGGTTTACTATTAAATTCCAAGAAAATTCGTAGCATGTAATTTCAACTTAGAGAAAGAATAATTGGTTCCTCGTGTGCAAATATCAGCGAACAGGAAAGATTAGTATGGATAAAGATGAAATTACGCATGGAAGATTCGGAATATTAATCGATTAAAATTATTATAGCACGTGATACACGAATGCACATATAAATAAAGAAGTACACCCATAAAATTCTGTACAATATCCTATCGCGAGATACCTTCCTCTGTTCTCTGCAAACTCGTATTCACGAGAGCGTACGTCGAAACGGCGAAGAGAATTGGCACGATTCACGGTACGTTCGTCACGTCGAAGCAAATAATCGATATCTAACGATATCCAGAAATGTATGAATTATTACACGCTTTACGCGTCTCGGTATAACAGCCTTCGAGCTTTATTTCTGCTTGAAGGATGAAAAAAATGGCCGCCGAAATTAAAGGCAGGGCGTTGGAAAAATCGGCACGAATCGGAACCCGGAGTAGAGAGTGTTTAAAAATCCCTGTTCTCGTCGGACAGTACGGTTTTCGTAAATTTTTCGCGATGGAAACAGATCCGATCGAATTGCCACGCTCGTGCGAACTCGCGCACCCACGTACGCACGCACGCACGCACGGCGATCGCTTCTTGAATTCCTGCGAACGTTCGCGCATTCCCTGATAACCGTGGAGAACGATTTCATTTATTTACGCCGCGTCGTCCCTGCTCAATGAAATTCCCGTGGATTCGCAAGAAAGTTCCATTAAACTTACTCGAAGACTTAAGCGTGTACGCACGCCGCGAAAGCTTCGGGATAGTTCTCTGAATCAACTGTGATCCGTGAGAAACGGAGCGTTTTACGAGACTCGATTTGCGAACAAAGAGACGAGTTAAGCTGGGATATTATCGGAATTACTCGTGTTTCTTTCCACCGTGTTTAATTTACGACAGCAGAGCCTAAAGAGGACGATAAGTAGCCGAAGTAGTTGGTACATTAATGAAATCGTGTTCCGTGTACTATAAATCGGGGAGAGCGAAGACGAGGAGTGATTCATGAGATCGGTTTCGGTGAAAAGCTTCGGTGAAAAACTGATGTTATTTTTATTGAGATACACCGTTTGCGTTTTATAGTTATTCGGAAATATCCGAAAATGTTTGCGCGCTGTAAAATACGAGAGAGTAAATTTTGAGTGTCGCTATTCCTTTCTTTCTCCCTTCGGTTTGATTAGTTAAATAAGCAGCGATTCGCGTTAAGCTTCTCTTTCACATTCTTTTCGAGTAAAGTTAAACAGAAAAGAGCAATTTTTCTTACCGAGTTTATGCAGTAATTATTTTTCTCGAGCAATTTGTTATAATAAAATGGAACAAACATTTTGATTACCCTGTATTACGTTCTTATTCATAATCTAATACTCTACATTGCATCGAAATCGTAATATTTTATCAAAAATTTCGACTATCCAAGAGGAGACTCGGAAAGTGTATTAATAATATAATAGAAGACGATCGAATATTTTAAAAAATATAATTCCAACGGGAAAGCGAGATCGTCCGAAAGACTACTTTCCTTACGCCACCGTGGCGGGAAAAAGGAAAGATTAAAAAGAAAAAAAAAAAAGAAAGGAAGAAAGAAAAATACACGTCGAACGTCAAGCGCTGCCGCGAAATTTATACTCGCCTCCTCTGTCGAATCGGACGGTAAAGCTGTGACGGCGTATTTACTCAAAACACAATTTAGGTTTACCTTACGTCATAACGCGGCCCGTGAGTTCATAAAGCCCGACGGAAAAGCACCATAATAAGATCATTGCCAGCACAAACTCTCTATTAAAATAACAAAGACCTTGGTTGTTAACCTAGCGAACAGGCGCAAAAAGGGAAAAGTAGCGGGAAGAAAAAAGAGCGGAAAGAAAAAAAACGAAATAAAGGGAACGAAGAGACAAAGAGAAGTGAAGGAAAGAAGAGGGGGAAAGAAGGGAAAAAATATATAGCGTCTAAGTAATACGTTTAACCTACCTGTACTCTACTCGAAGGGTGAAACGTAATTTGTTGCCTGGTATCTCTGTGCAGGGTGAAGGGAGGATGAAGAATGCCCCGCGTCGGTGGAGACGGGGGTGGCGGGCCGGAGAAGGCAGGAGGAAGTGGATTCGGAGGATGGCTTGGGGGTGCAGCAAGAGCCATGACAGGGGGAAGTGTCGGCGGTGGTTACGTGGTTCTAGGTGGTACCAGATACGGTCTCAGACTTTCTCAGGTAAGAGGCTTGTTTTAATACCCCGTTGCTTTATTTGGAACACGTTATAGGCGGAATTTCCGAGTTTGTAGGTTGTTATTACCTATAGTGCTCTTTGACGGAACAGTTCTGTCTTCGCAGAGTCTGCTATGCTCCGAATGCTTTTCGCTTATCGAAGGTAACTTACTTCAGGTTTCTATGGACTTATGGGCGTCCTGTATTTTATTTTCCGATGTTTCTCTACTTTACTCTGCATTTTACTCTCCAATTTCCTATTTCTTATTAGCTTTATGTACACATTCGAGTCTGTGGGAAGCACTCTTTGTTAGATCAGCAGGACTAGCGAAGCGGTCAATACGAAAGCGGAGGATAAATAATTCGTCAGCCCTGTAATCGGAATTCCTTTGGTCTCTGCAGAGTCGAGGAAAAGGTAGCAACGTATGACATGTCTCTATTTTAATCCAACGGCTACCCGGAACAAAAAATTTTCCTAACATTCTCGAGGAACTGACACTCTAATCGTAACAGTTTTTAAACTCTGGACAATAAACGTTCCTACTGACACAAGGCTCTCGAGTGTGGTTATAATTACCCGGATAGTTGCGCAATTGCCTATTGCATCTCTATCGAGGAATCCATCTAAACGTATTCTCACGCAAAGTATGACGTTCGGACTCTATCTAGAAGTCTTTTAAAAAGAACACACAGTCAGCGGGGCACATGTACACGTGTATCCTTTATTACGAATCGCATTCCTCGCGGCCAAATACGATCCAAAAAGCGTGCCGTTGCTCGAACTGCGTCACCAGAGAGGGTCGAGGAGCCGGGGGTGAACAAAGTTTTTGAAATTTCACGGTGCCGTTGCCAGCGGGATTTTATTGGTTAAGCGGAACGTATCCCGCAAAGACGACGCAGCGTCCAGCCAAATAAGAATCCAAACTCCGTTGGCTTGTGTCGTGACGACCTTCGACGGATTCGCGACAGAGAAGAGACGTTTTCGCGGCGGGCAAAATGAAGACGTCGGAAATCCTAAATATAGAGGCGATCGCGCAAATAGAATGCCGCCAGTCAGTGACACGGCCCGATCTCGAGCCAACCCCCTTTATTCCTTCTTTCTTCCTCTTCCTATTTTTTCCCTGCTGCCTGTCCTCCTTCAGGCCCGAATAATATCTACGTTGACATCATACGCACACGTAGCGGCGACGTGAAAATCTCGTGCGACACGAACGGGCCGAGCCCGCTAACCTTTGCCAAGTCCTTCGATCGCGACAAATCACAGCGAATACGTCGCTCGATCGAGAGCCGATGATCCGGCGAACTTGCCAGCCGATTTTAGCCGTCTCTACGACCCCTCAGTCTTCCTCCATCTCGAGGAGGAATCCCTTCGTGATTCTTCCTCGCTGCTGGGTCTCTCGATCCGACAGTCATTCCTTCCTGATTTCTCTGCCGTTATTCACATCCTTAGCTTCCTTAATCTTTAATTTCCTTTCTTAATTATTTGCCAATTAGCGGTGCGAAATTTTCTCGATTTTTGATGAACAAGCTTGGTTGACAGAGAAATGTGGAATACGATGTTTGACCCCTGTGGTGTCTACGATGAAATATCGACGTAGGTAACCTATCCTCCGATAATTTCAAACGCTGAAATCTCTGAAAAGGTAGGTAAAGTTTCTTTCACCGAGTATTTCCGGTCGAGCAAGTTTAAATCCCCGTGAATCGGACGGGGTTTAAATTCGCGGTTTAAATTCGAGAAATCGGCTTAATCGGATAATTCGGGTGCATGGAATAGGTAGGATATATAGGTGTGGAATATGTATTGGTAGAATTCGTTTGAGCTAGGTGGTACGTTGGAGTAATCTCCTACATTCGGGTACATGATTAAGGAATAAATATAGTTCTCTTATGGAGTTATTACGACACGGAGCGCAGGTATTTCGTTATCCTCCTCTTTTTAGCATGTCCTCGTGGTATGCCGCTTTCAAGCAGCGCAGCGTAAAATGTCAGAGTAAAGATCGAAGCAGACGTTTCGGAGCGTATCTCGCTATCTCGAGAGGATTTCCAGAAAGGAGATTAGACGGTTCTACTTTCCAGCATATCCAGCGTACATCGCGTTGCATACACAAGAGTCAGAGATCTATTTCAGAGTAGTTTATCTCTGGCTCGTTCGTGGGAAGAAACAGCGTCACCTTGCCGCAACGCCATTGTCTCCTTTCCTATCCTCTTTGCCACGATCGTTCTTGCATACGTATCAGTTGAGCCGCATAAAATGACGCGAATAATCATTACGGAGTGTCGCCGACAGCACGAGACTTTGAAACATTTCGACGAAAGGAGCTTCTCATTCTCTGCGCTCCCAGGCATAGATTAACTGTACTTAAGAAACGACGCTCAATTCCCGGGGAATTAACCTCGGAGTAATGACAGTCCGATGAGAATTTAGATAATTTAAAAATTGCAATTCACGAGTCGATCGGTAAAAACGGAAGGCTTATTCTCGCCGAGCTTCTTTCGTCGGGCCCGATGAAAATGTACGTCTGCAACTAGGTGAAAATGTAAATTGTAAAAAAAGGTTGAAATTAGGTGTTCCCTCGTAGGTAAGGACAAGGTGAAATTACCTTGTACAAGCAGGTTCTACTTCCTACGTTTCGTTTTACGCGGTATCATAAGAAGCAGTCTTTGAGTCTCTTTATATACGAAGCCACTTCATAGGCTTTACGGTCCCATTTGTTCCGCTGCTTTCGTGCTGTATTAAACAAAGGAGTACAAGTACGTGTTCTGATCTACATACACGCGCAGAGGGGACCGCCTTTTTCCTCATCGGTGCTCGTGGATTCGGTATAAAATACCATTATTTTCGATCTTCAAACGTCACACATTAGTAGATCACCATGGTTTTTCTCCATTTCATAAACGGGCGATTACAAAGAATATTCGCGAATAGGTGGATAATCGTACCATGGTATTCCTGGTTGGAGCGAGGAAAAAAATTCGAGGTATTTATTAATTGAGAAATTTTTCGCGTCGCAATAATCCGACATGCCCGTACCCGATTTCCTGCTGAAATCTAAAGCTTCAGCAGTTTTACGGAGTTTACACATGTTCCTAACAAAACTAGCGTACCAGTAGTCGCGATAGCGACAGCGACTCGGAGTCGTCGAGTGTATAATTTAGTCCTCCTTTGAATTTCAATTTATCACACATGGAACGTAATTTCTGTGAGTATCATTATTTATGAAACGAGTTTCCTTGACGCGAGGTGATAAAAAAATGAAAGAAACTTTGGAGTAGTTCTTCTGACATTTTCTACAGGAAGCTGGTACCTTAACGTATGTAAAAAGATTCTATATATAAATATATTTATTTACTTATTTTTCAGCCTCCTCGATCCCGGAGAAGGAACTCGATTTACCATATGTTAACGCTTATTCTTTCATTCCCGTTCATATTTTCTTCCGTTTCCATTCGAGTCACTAGTCAACTTTGCTTGATCTACTCTACTACTACTTATTTCTTTCATCCTCCATAATTTGGGTGTTATTTCTCTCTTTCTTCCGATTCAACAGCTATAAAAATCTCAAAGATATAAAAGACACAATTTTCCCAGGGGAATAAAAATCATCGAGAAGTACACTCGAACGCGGACTGCAACTGAATTGTATCACACACGCGCACGAAATATAAATGGATAAAAGAATAGAAAGATAAAAATGAAAAATGGAGTGGTCTGTTTGCAGGAAAGCTTGCCGCCATCGAACTCGCGGGAAGAATCGCAGGAGAGACGTCGCAAGAGGAGCTCCCGGGAGAGCGACTCTCGCGAGAGACTGACCGAGAAGTGTGCGGAAAACGCGGCGCTCGATCTGAGCTCGAGCATCGCCGACTGCTGTTGCATCGGTCCACGTTCCCGTCTTCCGTTGCCGAGGATCCCGCCGTCGTCGACAACGACCACATCTTCGTCGTCGGCGTATCCGTCATCGTCGACGTGCGGAACAGGCGGAGGAGGTGGTGTAGGTGGAGTTGGAGGTGGCGGTGGAGGTGTTGGTGGTGGACAGGCTCCTTTTCCTGGGCCTCCCACGTCTTCGAACAGCCGTGTTGCCGGCGTGGAACAGCCGGCGACGCTGACGACGCCAACGACGTCGGCGCAACCGTTGGTGAACTCTAATAATAACCGAGGGATGCTGCAAACGTCGGTGGGGAACAGCACTGGCCAGCACCATCAAGCACAATCGTCCGCGGCTCTAACGGCGGCGGTACCGTCGTCTTCGTCGCCATCCACCTCGACATCGTTCAACACGTCCACCGCCGTCCCGACGCTGCAGTCCGTCTCGGTGCCGCGCCAGCTAGCACAGTGGACCAAGCATCAGACGCTGAAGCTGCAGGTATTTCTTCCAACCGTTCATATTATCGGTAAATTCCACGATCAGAGTCGATTTAATCAGCCTAGCCGTAGGTTTAACTCGACTCGTCTGTCTCGGCGAGAAGAAATGCGAGAGGTGATTATCGTGGATCGGGAATCGTGGATAGAGATTCGTCGATGGGAATAGGTTTACGCGTGTAGATCGTAGTTGCGGTGGATTAGAAGCGAGCAGAGTTTTCGGTCGGTTCTGGAGGATATTTTTGGGGATCCGTGGCCGGTGAAACGCTACAGAGGCTGTAGAAAAACTGTTGTGATTTCGTAAGAGTGAGCTGGTTCGTAGGAATTTGGGACGAAGTGTCTTCGACCTGGGAGGACGCTTTGTGTCAAAGCTCGAGAGGTGGCTTACAAGTGGTAGAGGTGTAGTATTTTTAATGGCTGGAGATGGGGGTCGGTGAGGAAGGTCTCGCGAGGATTGATTATTATTTATTTCCTTCCATTTCTCTTTTATCTATATCCGTCTCGCGGAACGCGCGCATTTTTCCTCGTTTTTACGACACTGTAACTGTCAGGAAACGAAACAGCGATAGATCAAGGCGGACGAATTTGACAATTCCCGGCTTCCCTTGGCCAAGCCGGATTATTGCCCCAACGACCAGCGCCACTTGGCCTTTGTCGAATCTAGTTCACCTGTTAACTCGGTTCAACCTGTTAATTTGGCCCGGCCGAATTCCGATGGGTCGTGACAAAGCGGACAAAAAATGAGAATTGATCGTGGAGAAGTGACGGGCCTAGAGAATCGAAAACTCGTATGTGCGATACGTAGGTGTCTAGTCGAAGAACGATATTCTATTTTGGTCGTCATCTGTCTTTTCCCTCGCGGCAGGCACGAGGCAGCGCACGCTGCGCAGCACGGTCGATCCAAAAATTGGTCTGGTCGCGAGTGCACGATCTTAAAAAGCTCGTACGAAAGATCGGAACCTGGAAATCCCGCAGACTATACCGAGAATATTCCAATTTTAATTTGATCTATCCAATCGGGGATTATCACGCGTTGAAGATCAAATTTGGATTCGATTATGTCCCGTTAATTACGTTAATTAGGTTAACGACGAAGATGGTAATTTTTCTATGTTTAGGAACCAGCAGTGATAGCGGTGGACCGATTGCACAGGTTCCGGTGGAGCGGGGGCGGGGGAGGAAGTAACAAGAAGTCCTCCTCCGGCCCCCGGAGCGAAAAGACCGAGCGCCTTCGAGAGCTCACCGAGAAACTCAAGGGACCAGCCCCGGTACCACCACCCAGAAGGCCTTCGCGGGTTCAAGCATCCTCTCCGCCCCCGAGTGGGTACCAACCACCCTCGCAGAACTATCCTCAGGTAACTAACTCGTCTCCTAATCGGAAGATCAAAAATTTCCTTCAAAGACAACCCAAAAATTCATAACTTCGAGCACGCAATATACGCAGACTAATTAGAGATTTACCACTAGAGGCGGTTCAAATATCATGCACAGATAACCTGTACCACCCAAATAGTATATTTTCATTGCTAACAGCTCCACGAAGATTAACAATATTAGCATCAACAACAACATTGCATTTCGTATTAGTCACTTTCGAATAAAAATTCTTAAAAAAGCTGAAGGTCTCCGAAAATAACGAAATTCCACAGAAATTCAAAAAAAAAAAGAAAATAATTCTAGGCCAAAAAATATCTAGATACTACTTGTCCGACAACGTCCCCTAATCCCTGTGACACATAACTCGGAGACAAAGTCCCCCTAATCGTAATAATACAGCCCGAAGTATACTCTACTCGTAACTCTGCTAAGTATACTCTTCGTATACACGACACGCAAATTCGTGCGACAGAAATCTCAAGGAGCAACGAATTTTTTCCTCAGACAACGAATCAAGGATGCGGTCACTGCGACGGTCGTCCTTCCTGTCGAAGCTACACGTACAGCGAGGGCACTGGTCACGGGTCGGGCAACCAGCACCCCCAGCAACATCAGCAACAGCAGCTGAAGACGATGGGCCGGAGTGAGAGTGTCGGTGACGAGTGTTTCAGTGAGTCGAGTAACGACGCGTGCAGGAAGCCGTGCACCGACTCGAGGAGGTCGTCCTCGCGGTCGGTCAGGCAACACGATAGGAACAGTGGTGACGTAAGTGACATAAAAAACGAGCTGAACGCCAGTGCGGACGCGGCGAAACACCTGAGACAGTACAGTGATTCGGTGGTGGATAGTGGTACGTGTGTGGACGATTTGTGTGACAATCTGAACACCGCCTCCGGGGCAGGCAACGAGGGCGAAGCCAGGGATGCGATCACCAGATTGGAGCCCAGAGGGCCACTTCTTACGTTTCACAGAGCCGGTGCACCTTATCGCAGCGCTTCCTTCGGCCAGGTGGACTTCAATCAAGGTAACTCGTTCTTAATAATTTTATCCCACCGGAAGAACCCGGATTATTACAATTGTTTACGCTATTTCCGGTTACAGAGATTCGCCCTATAATTTTGTCTCAGCAGAGATACTAGAATATTTCAGCAGACTTGGACTGGCTATAGGTGCTTTCGATTTCGATTTCAATTTGCATTAATACTCTCACACCGTGGGTGGTTTAAGCTATTTTCTTTTACGAGAAGTAGCTTTAGTTGCGGAGATTCGTTTTATAATTTTATCTCAGCAGAAGAACTTGGATTGGCTATAAGTGCTTTCGAAGTTTGGGCAGTTTCGACTATTTTCTTTGATAAGAAACGCTCTTAGAGAAGTTCTCGCAGTAGATATGTATATCGTTGCACAAAACTGGCAAAGTTTCGGGATTTCAAGTTCAGAATATCGCGAAGTTTCGTAGCAACGAATTTATGTAACTCCGGCGTATATAAATGAACGTAATCGCAGGTACACATTAAGAAACAGGAAATACCGAATATAAGCGAAAATATAAAAGCGAGTAAGTGGGTACTTAATTAACGCAAATGGCAACGAGGATAAAGTGCTGGATGTGCCAGATAAATTAGCAGTCCACAAAGAAACCTCCGACTATTTCTAAACCTGAATTTTTCCATTTGCAACGAGACTACCTAGCCTCGGCATAGGCAGAATCTCGAGCCTCGAATCCAGGGGAACGTGCATAACTGGCGCCGAAGTTATCCGGGCGATCGGAAAAATTGCGCACGATTTTAATTACCACGATATATCTGAGATATATCTAAACTTCGTTCGGAGATATTCGAAATGCGTGTGGAGGATGGGAAAAACTCGGGGACTCGTTTAACTTCGCGTTACAGCTTCTCAATCGCACGAAGAAAGCTGCAATGAGGAAGCTGCGCCCCAAACGATCATTAGCTCGTAATTACGATAGGTTTGTAGATTTTGTTCGTGGTTATCATATCCGCGGGTATAAATGATCGTAAACGAAACGGTAGAATCCACGAGAGGCATTTGAATGGGCGTAAGCGGTGGGAGCAGAAGCGACCGTAAGAACAGTTACTCCAAAGCATTCATTGTACTTTGTTTCCGTGTTTATCTTTTCGGGTCTTCACCTGCTCGGAACTGGTTCTACTAGTCACTCCCCGTAAAAGGTTCTGCCTTACTTCTTCGCCGGAGCATACTGCTCGCGTAGATCCGACGAAAAACCTTTCCTTCATTGTCCGTTTCGTCCAAGAATACCGTCAATTCGCGACAAGTGTCCCCCCCTAATCGCCGAAAATTAACCAACGACTCTGATTTTTCATCGAAAATTCTATTCCATTTCATTCCACTCGCGTACTTGCCGTTCCCAAGGGTACTCGGGAAGAGAGAACGGATCGGCAGTGGTCGATTTATGGACGCTGTCGAGATCACTAGAATTACGGAAGAGTAGCTTTTACGAAAATTACGTGAATCACGAGGAATTAAGTTTCTTTACGAGCTCCAATTTCTTCCATTTGCCAGCGTGGTTTGTCTTTAGAGGTAATTCGAATTTCATTTTAATACACCGGGTATGGCAATTCCTCCGGATTCCGAGGCAAATAGCGTTAGACAAATACCGTGGAAATTATTCGACAGGTAACGACTGTTTAGCTTCACGACGACCGTCTCCGTTCGAATTTATTTTACTCGGTTTGCGATTAGTACATCCCTGATCCCTAAAATATTTAAAACGCCCTCGAGAAGGAAAAGAAGATGAAGGGGGGTCAGAAATAAAAGAAATCTTCCATCTGACTTCACCCTTGCTCGTCTTTCGCAGCGACATTTTTTCCAGGGGCGTCTGAAACGTGGGGTCTTCCGCGTATCGCGCTACGATCTTCAAACTTCATTTACCGAGGCGACGAGCGTGAAGTAGAGGGAAAAAAGTGAAAAAGACGAAAGGAAGAGACGCGGAGGTAAGGCCACGAGCTACGAGTTACATAACGGGACACGATAATGTTGCGGACCGGTATCGTTTCGTTTTCATTTTCGAGCCGCGATAAATAATCGGCGCGAAAGGCGGAAATTCGGATGGGGAAACGTTGTCAATTAATTACGCGATTTGTATACGGCCGGTTGTGTACTTGTAAATATTGGCCAGCGGAGCCGGGAGCCGCGCGCGCGGGAATGCAGACTCGGGGCGGCATGGCGGTTCGCCAAATAAACACTACCCATTATGTCTATTATTACATTCATGTAGGTGTCGGTTTGTATAACTGAGGATAGGGACAATCTAAATCCGTAAAAGCCTCGAATATCCGCGCGAAACGCTTTTGCGTTATTGAGAAACCCTCGCGGAAAGTTTTCCCTCTTCCCTCCCGCTTTGCCCCGCATTTCTTCCGTTTTTCCCTCAAAATTAATCTCACCTCCTTCGCGCGATATTTCCTTCTCCCCTCTGCAAACGAGCGTCAGTCCGCTTTCTAAGTTTCGCGCGTGCTAAAGAGGCGTGCGTCCTAAATTCGCCCGATACACGGATCGACCACGTTTTACTCGCGAATTCCAGTCCAATAATTTTCGAGAGTGCGAACGCTTTTCCAACGAGAGCCTAGTACTCTCTGTTACCGATCGATCTTCGAGCCCGCTGTCACGCCTGGTCTTCGAGAGATACAGCCGAGCGGCTCGGGAAGCCATGTTGATTCCGCCTGGTCGTTCCAAACGGGGGAGGAAAAACGGGGAGGGGAAGAGGTAACGCGTGTACACAGTTTACGCGTCGGTGCCGAAAATAGTGATGGCTTCTGTAAGGATTTTTCGGTTCGCCATAGGTAGCCGGTCCCGTAACATTGACTTTCGTCTAGGCGTATAGTTACAGCCCTGAACTACATACCGAGCGGAGGTAGCTTCGGTTTCATAATAAAGGACTAGAAATAAGAGAGATATCAGAGAGCCGCTCTCCATGGCGCTTGTATCGCGAATGGCCTCAAAGATAATGCATTTCGTGTCCCTGGCCTGAATAAGCGTATTGTTTGCTCGGGTAATTATTTAAACGAATCCTGTCGCGTTGCGCGCTTAGAGCGGTATCGGCGATCGGGAAGGTACGATTTGTCCTTTCTCCTTTTGTGCTCGTGCAAATGCCGTTGTCGTAGCTTCTCGTTTGGTAGATCTGTTTGCACCATTCTATGCGTTGCCTCTTTTGTCGCAGACTTCTCGCAGAGGAATTGTTCGGGTGAGAATCTCGTGCGCGAGAAGTGCAGTTGCCACGCTCCTGATGTTTCCGATTTCGATAGGCAACGGGTACAATCGGCGGTTGAAAATCTGTAGTATTGTCACAACTGCTATGTTACCTGCGGTTATCTGCGCAAGTCGAGTAATTTAGATTCGGTGGATTTTGCCCTAAGAATTTTGATCGATATTAAAAGCAACAGTGACAAATGGAGGTATTTTAGAGAACAATGGCATTGTGCACGAATCGAGTATGTATCTTGGAAGAGATGGAGGAAAATATTTATCCAGAATCGATTGATGCATCCCAGAAATCAGCTTCTGGGGATCTCTCTTTCGAATTTCACGCTAGAATCATCGATCTGTAATTCGTAACTAAATGTATATTATCGTACGCGAATGATAATAATTATAGCGGCACGACGAAGACAAACGATTATAGATAATTGCGCCACTGACTGCGAAAGTGGCCTTTACGTTCGTAAAGTATTATAATACTCGCGTAACGAGGGTATTATATAAGCCAGGAACGACACTCTAGCACGCATCTGACTAAAAAGATGAATATTCGAACGATCTGTGATTCTTCCCTCCCTCGCGAGGGAACAACAGAAATATCATTGGCAATTTCCACGAGGCACGCGATTTTATTTTTTTCCTCGCTTATTGCTCGCGTTGCTTGCCAAAATCGCGGGACGGAGCGAGTGCGTGAGAAGAGGAACGGAGAGAGACGGGAGATAGGCGAAAGAAAAAAGTGAGAAGGAGAGCAGCGATTTCTCAATGCGTAACAAGGCCGAAGGCGTGAAACGCGACGAATCGCGTGCGTGGCGCAAGCCGGAAACGCTTCGCGCTAACGCGCCAACAAATCTCACGCGCGACACCTTTTACGTTCGGAAGACGGTTTACGAGGACGTGTAACTAGGTATCCCCTGAAATACAGCTGCAGTCCACGGATCCTCTCGGCCATTAACGGCGGTAGTACGCTGGGCACCGAAGAACGGGGGAAAAAGAGATCGAGAGAAAGCAGCGGGCAGATAGATTCCCTCTTATCCGGCTCTATCGTCGTCCGTCCGAGAGGATCGTACGCGATCATAGTGATTGCGACCACGAGGTTGACGATCACGTGGCTCCCGGCGACGATTGGTCTAATGGAAAGTACACGCGGTCAACTGATTATGGTCGTTGCTGGTGGAAAAATGAATCCCGGAGAAAGGAAGTCTTTATTCGACGATGCCGATTTTTCCTACGAAATAACACCTTTCGCAGACAATAGACGCAGACTTTTTACGTTTTACCCTATTCCAGATGGAAAGCAAAATACTTTGACCAACCTTAATTTAGCAATCAAATTTCGAGCAAAATTTTTATACATTTTGTTTCTTATGATGATTAGTCTTTCAACAATTGCTCGTGATTCGAATCTCTGAAGAAAATTCGAAGATATAATTTACTAAAATTCAAGAAGAATGTTAACAAAATTTGGGAAATAATATGGCAGAGAATAGAGAAGAAATGGATCAGCGACTAAAATATTTTGACAATCATTTGTTACTTAAAGCTCTGAAGAAAATTCGAAGGTGCAACTTAGTAAAATGCAAGAAGAATGTTAACAAAATTTGCTTTCAAATAATGATTACAAAACTTGGAAAATAATATAGGAGAAAATGGAGAAGAAATGGATCAGCGACTAAAATATTTTGACATTCATTTGTTATTTAAGTCTCTGAATAAAATTCGAAGATCTGACAATAAGTCGAAGCACGAGCGCGCAATGAGTCGCGATATTAATCAACGATATGACAGTGTAGCCAACGATATGACAGTGTAGCCAACGATGACATCGTTGTTGGGTACTAAAAGGGTTAAACGAGAATTTTTAGAGTGTAAAATGACGAGTTTCGTGATGAATAGAGGATTGGTTTTATGGAAAATAAATGACGGAGGAATTAGATGTTGGAATGTTCGGAACAATTGTTCGAGTGCCAGCTTCGTAAAACGAGCAGTTAAATTGTACGATGTTTTTCTCTCGTTTTTAATGATATTGATTAAAGCGAAAAGAGCACGAATAGATTATGTTCCCGGGTGTACAGTCTTATCGTGTACACGTAATTGCGTGCCTGTACATTCGCAGGTTCCACTATTTTTCTTGTCCCCGTATTTATGCTCGTGAGAAGTCTTCCCATCAGGAAGACTGCGAACTAAATTAACGGATGTGTGTTTTACCGCAAAGGAAGGATTTACATAGCAGTTAATTTGACGTTTAATTACCGCGACGATAATTACGGGAAGGCCGGGGTAACACGGAATTCATTATGATCGTTCTCGATGATTTACAACGTCTGTTGTAATTATCGATGGATTCTGCGTTCAATCAACCGGCGTTCCTTATTGCTCTCAATTTTCTCCAATCGAAGAAAGATCGTTAAATAGATAGAAAATTCTGAACCAAAAATTTTTCATCGAAATTAATATCGAGGTTTAAACGACGAGACAGATTTCTCAGTGAATTTGAACGTCGAGTCGTTTCACGTGTAAAATGACTAAATGGCGAACGTGCAGAAGATTTTTAGCACTGTACATTTATTACGTTATTAGACGCAGTCCGGGATATGTACAAAATTTGTGCCAAATTAGTAACACGAACGTGGTACGTTCCCTTAGACAGCGAATAAATTTGTTGCATGCACTTGGAGCGTGTTTATTAGCGCGGTATATTTACTCGGAAACTAAATTATCGGTCGCAACATGCTATAATTCGAAATTTAGTGCTTTTTAGATATAATTCGCCGTCGTCCGTTGAAACTCTATCTACGTGTAAATATTTGACCGAAGATATTAAAAGCTTATTCCTCTTATCAGTCTCTTTATGAAATCCCAGACATAATATACATTCCGGAACAATTAGGATTCTCGATATAAATAAAACGCATCGAATCTCTAAATATAGAATACTACACAAACATCAACTAGTTTACAAACCACGAATATTCTCAAATTTCCCTATTCCTATTCACTGGAAGACAAAGTAACTCGTTCAATTAAAAAAATTATTTTCAAATCTCATTGACAATTAAATAATACACATTAAATCACCAAATACTATATAACTGTAAAATAACTCTAAAAGACAAAAATAAAATACCTTACTCAAAGAGAAAAGTAACATACCTTAGAAAATCCTGCGATTAAAATTATTTCGTACGTATCTCTACTCTAACCCTCGAGTCTCGCCAATTACATGGAAAAGGAGATAATTGAAAGAAAGGTATA